CCCAGATCATAGAACGACCAGTACAAGGGGAGTCCAGAAGTATACACCCAGATCATAGAATGACCACTGTACAAGGGGAGTCCAGAAGTATACACCCAGATCATAGAATGACCAGTACAAGGGTAGTCCAGAAGTATACACCCAGATCATCACATGCTATTTCAATAAACTGAGAAAACATCAGAAAACTCTAGCTTGGACACGTCTGGTGACTTTCAAAGCTGTAGCGTCTTTGGGAACTGTCACAGTACATTTTTGTGCCTTTGATCAATGTTCTGTGGTAAAATCTGTACAGGAATTTGTTTTTACGAGGCATGAAAGGTGTTGAGCTAAAATAAAAAATCATTAAAAATTTTACCAACAGGTGGAAGAACGCCGATTTGTTCATTTGATTATTTTGACGAGCACCTGATTCCACCTTGATGTCAGACTTTTGTCCAAACTGTTCGTTAAGTTTTGTTTTTGTTTTGTCTGTGCAGGCAAGAAGTGCCCGCGACTGCCGCGGCACATGATACAGCGAGCGTGGGGCGTGCCCGACACCGCCATAGAGGAGTACCTACACTTTGACCAGCAGGGATTTTGTCTGGTCGGGGGAGAGAAAGTCTTACAGGTGAGGCTGTGTGTGTGGGTGTGTGTGGGTGTGTGTGGGTGTGTGTGTGGGTGGGTGTGTGGGTGTGTGGGTGGGTGGGTGTCTTGTGTGAAAGTCTGCAGAAAGAGTCAGGAGCCCAGAGGAAGGGGTAAAGGAGGTGAGGGGGTGGGGACAGAAAAGAAAGTGGAAACGAAAGCAGACGACAGAACATTGCTAAAGAGCAGGAAAGGAGGTGAAAGGAGAAAATTTTCTCTCTACCCAGATTGGAACCCGGGACCTTTGAATGAGAGGTGAACACCTAATCCTCTAGGCCACAAGAGCCCCCACCCCCTCAGTCGGGGCTATACAACCCAGTTGTACCGCCAGCCCCACCGTTGCTCCAACTTCCTGCTGGTCTCTGGGGTGGCTTTTCTTGTCTTTTCCGAGAGTTAGAATTATGTGAATTTTGACAAAACTTTTGTTGAATACTCGCAGTCGATACCACTGATTAAAAAACTGCAATTTAGAAGGAAAAAAAAAAAAATGTTGGGCATAGCACATGTAGCTGGCAGAGGGTAGATGATGATATCCTTATTTCTTTTGGTGTCTCCAAAGTCTACATTCTGTAAGGATGTGCGCGGGGTTCATTAGGGAAGAGCTCTATACAAGAGTCGTACATTGTTCTTCTTACTAGATCTATCTTTACTTCAGTTTGGCTTCCGTTAGGATGTTGCGACCTCAGTGCTTTCTTGTCCTATCTCCATTTTTAATAACAGTGAAAACAATTCATAATTCATAACAATGAGTGAGCTTAGGAAGATGTGCATAGCGTTATATAAGTGTCATATATTGCTCTCACTATCATTGCTTCAGATAGACCTGTGCTAGGATGTGTGTTGTGTTAGTCGGGGTAGAGCCCTGTACAAGAGTCCTATATTGCTCTCACTATCGTTACATCAGATAGACCTGTGCTAGGATGTGTGTTGTGTTAGTCGGGGTAGAGCCCTGTACAAGAGTCCTATATTGTTGTCCTCACCATCTAGACCTGTGCTAGGATGTGTGTTGTGTTAGTCGGGGTAGAGCCCTATACAAGAGTCCTATATTGTTCCCTTACTGTCATTACATCAGGTCGGCTACCTGCAGAGACTGGTGGCTGCCATGAGCGACATCTTCGTCCAGGAGCACCGAGTTTCTCCAGCTCTTGTGGCAGACGTCTACCAACATATCTTCAAGCCGAAAGGTGCGTGGCCTGGGTGGTTGGCGGGTGCTCTGGTGTGGTCTGCTCCTTTCTTTCCTGTCCAACATTCATCACCCTTATCTCTCCTCTTGTCTGTCGTTGTGTGTTGCTCTGTAGTAGTAACCACCCTGTACCTTCGGCACTTATATGACCTGTGGGTGGTTAGCGGGTGCTCTGGTGTGGTTGGCTCCTTTTTTTCCACCAAACATCTATCGTCCTTATCTCCCCTCCTTTTTAGTGTTCGTTACTCTCTTGTAACACCTGTACTCTCCGGCACTTCTGTGACCTTATTGTGATTCAAGTGCCGTAAAACTTTTACTAAAACTAAACTAAACTTGTATGACCTTATTGTGTTTCAAGTACTGTGAGAGTCTCACTGAGACAAATGGACAAGTGACCCCCGGGGCAGTGCCACAGACAAGTGATTTATTGGAAGAACTTCCCGTTGTGGGAGATTTTTGGGATGAAGCGACGAGACGTTTGATTTGTTTCTGACCACTGAATTACATTAATGGCTATTTCCCCTCCATTTCTCTCCCCCCCCCATCCTTTTTTTCCCACTCCTCCCTCTCCCCTCCACCAATCCCACATGAATTGCT